ACGAGACAGTGCTAGGGGGGAGGAGGGAGGCAGACGGTCGGTCGAAGGGCTGAAAACAAAGAAGAACAAGATAAAAACCAAACAACCAGGGGCTTGTACAAATGGTTTTTGATCTTGTCTCTCCTTGTTAGCAGCCCTTAGAGGGGCTGACCGACCGTCTGCCGCCCTCCTCCCCCTAGCACTGCCTCGTGGCACGCCGGCCGGCGGATTATGAAAACAGCCAATGTCAGCATAACGAAAGAGATGTGAGTAAATAACTAATACGTGAATAATAATAAGTATGTAAATATGACGGAAAAAAAATCAAGAACACTGAACTTATAGGTAGACGTTGAGTTTAGATAAGATATCCTCCCGCCAAAAATTGTCTTAGAGGGTTACCGACAGAAGTGGACTGTGTCAAAATAAACTAGACTCGAGCAATAAGTTAGAAAAACGGTAGTAATTATTAAAAAAGGAAGCAATCATCAATCATGTCCTTCCCTAACCAAGAATCATAGACATTTTTCCCTAAGACATTATAGACAGGCAGATGATTATGTAAGTATAGCGTAAACGAACTTTTCAATACCTTTTATATTGTTAATTATTTCAAATTCATAAGCAATATATTTATTTCTATATGGACATTTAATAATATTGACAGCAATACTCTTCATTGTATCCATTGGAATTAAGTATAACAATAATATCCTTCAACTTATCGAATGTATCCCTCATGGAGCACGTATCAGCTATCCTAAGTGATTCGGTATATATAACTGAGGCTTTACTATTGTCGGATATACTGGAATCCTTATGAGGAAATCTAAGGGTATTAAATGTAAAGTAGTCAGTTATATAGGGAAGTAAGTATTCTATTGTCTCTAATGGTTATTATATTATATATTATATATTATTATATTTGAATCCAAGTAACTACTGTTACTTTCGTCAATATTCGTTTTTTCAAATTCCAACTTTCCATCATAAATTCTTATAAGTTGATTTTCTATTTCTTCTTCTCTCTGATTATACACCACTAACAAGTCGTCCATATATCTAAAGGGAATAAACAACTTTTTGCTATTGAACTCACAAGCTGTGCTGTAAATGAATATCACGACGGAAAGTGTAAAGTCCGCCAACAGTGGTCTAAAGTTTCCTCCATGTGGCACTCCTTTACTTTGTTTATACGATGTTCTATTGAAAAAGCAATAACTGCTGTTCAATGAATATTCCGTTAAGTATATTAATCCTGTTTTTGTACATTCTGTAATTATTTTTGACTTTTTTGCCGTCTGAGTGGAAAACTTCGAAACTATTAGTGACTATCATATCCTTATTAGCATAACGAAAACATCTTTGAATTAGATTTTGAATGTTCTTTATGATGAGGTCATGTTCTAGGTTAGTGAACATATCTGTGAAGTCTGCTGTATAAATCTTCAAACCAGGACAGTATATTTCTTAATTCTCTACTAATGTTAATATTATTAACAGACCAGCAATTCTTCATAGATTTTTTCTAATTCTTGTTATATTTGCATATTTTATAAAATGAGATTTGATAAAAGTAAAAATTGTGCATCTCTGTGGCTAATGTTTTCGTACTACTTTCTCTGGCACCAGTAATATATCTGAACTTTATAGGATTCTTATGTAGCTTTGGCAAGGCGTAAATGATCGGAACTGAAGCTTTATCTGATATTTTGAGTTTGTTACGTATACAAAGTATTTTATGTTTTAATATTAAATTGTATTCATTGTTACATTCTATTTTTATAGGTGTTATTCGTAACGCTGTGTAAAAAATTGTCTTCATCTCTATCGTATTTTATGCCCATTTCCTGCATAATAGTGCCCTTTCGGAAACATTAGGTCTAGGGAACCGGTTTTTTGAACTCTAATTGTAGAATGAGGGGAGGATAGCGATAATCTTCAGGTTTCCAGATTCTAGAGAAGGCGATAACGTCAAACGTAAGTTGATTAGAGCTTATTTATCATCTTGGTAACTGGTTTCATAAAGAAGTCTTTCAATACAGTTGAACAGTTCTTCAACGCTCTTCTGAAAGCTGGCATGTCGTTGACCAAAAGCATTATTTGTGGAAGTTACAGTGTAACTAAGTGCCTCCTTAGTTTCATTTTGATCACAACTCATTAATTTAGCAAATAATATAAACACAAAGACTAGGATCATCTTCCCCTCATTCCGAATAGACTAAAAACTCGGAACCTCGTCCAGAGTTACAAGTCTGAAAATAGGCTGGTCGCCTATAAAGGCTAGGTTTTGCAACCCAGTCTCTTAAAATCTATTTTAAATAATATTGGGCCGTTCGGAAAGTAATTTCGATTTCTGAGCGTTTCACAAAACAATTTTTCTTCGTCTTCCGGACAAACTTCAATTAATGACATATACCCAGTTTTCTTCGGTTATCTTTTGCCTTCCTTGTGGAAATTTAATAGCTCGCCCTCGCGGAACTTTCGGTTTTTGGTCAAGAAACTGGGTCACATTAGATTTCATTTCTTGATCTTCAATGTTTTCCCATTGAAGGACATCTGCAATGATCGAAACACGTGGGATTCGGATGTTGCGAAATCAGGGCTATATGGTGGATAAAACATTTGGTGCCACCCATGCTTTGGTGATTTTGTCATATCATAGCATTACTACTTTGCGAGTGGCCAATTTTGGAAAGCGTCTTCAACTGCACCATAAAATTTCAACAAGTAGAGGTCCGGCTTAACATTCTGTTTCCTTGAAAGCACTTTAAACTATACCACACCTTTCCATTCCACCAAATCGGTGTCTTGACCTTCTGATGAGAACTAGCTCTGAACCTCATTTGAGCAGGTTCATCCGATGTTTACCATAATCGCTTGTGAATAAACTTATCGCCAACATTCCGACATTTATCAATAGCCGATATTCAATGCATCAGTGGGTCGTTTTCATTGCGTTCGAAGCTCAAATCGCAGACATTACTAGGGGGCGACATGTGTATTTCCTCAGTTAGTGCGGCATCTGAGCCTTAAGCTTTTTACTGGTCCGTGTTTTTCGACATTTTCGTCAACTATTTCCATGAATGCTCTGGTCTTTTCACTGAGATCCTACATGGGTTACACGAAGATCAGCTTTGGTTAATGCCACTAAACATGGCCATCATGTCTGCTGGTCTGTCCAACTTGCAGTGACAAATTGCTGAAACGAAAAGTTTTGGGGCCAGTTTTTACATGTGCTCTGTAATAAGACATTGTCACCTTATGTTTCACCTATAGCATGGAAAACACTGGCAGTTTTTCAGCCAAGATAAGAGTCAAAAAGTGAAATGTGTCGAAAGTCCTCCATCTGATTCTCCATGTTCAAATTGATCCCAAAATTACAAAAGTGTATGAAATTCTTCCGTTTTTCCTTAAAAAAGCGCAAATGCATTCCTGTGATATACCAAATGAAAGTGTTGAAATTCCTGAAAAGCCTCTCAAAAGGCGTCAGAGAAAATAGTTTTCAAAAATCTAAATTAGTTTCCGAACGACCTCATAGTTATTCAGGATTGCATAGATATTGCGTTGCTATCGTGTTCATGGTAATGGTAGTGAATGGAGAATACTCGTCATTGATAACGGCTGCGATGTCAACGACTGCTACCAATGTAAATTTGAAATTACTCAATCACCACGAGACGGCTCTGCAATGATCACATTAAACAAGGCTGACTTCTGCACATGCTAGCTTTCCGACTCATCCTAGTTGGAAAAGTATGTTCTGAGGAACTTACTTCCCAGAACGTCCCACATCACTTGGCGCAAGTGTGGATATAGGATAGGTTGATAGTTTTCTAAGAAATTGATGGTGCATACCAAACTGCACAAGGCGACGTTCATCAACATTATAACGTCGAGGTGCCATCCTGTCACACCAGTCACGTAATGTAACACCGCACTCAAACTCACAGTCGTTAATTTCATACGTATTGAATGTGGTGGTGTGTGATGAATGGTCATTCTGCTCACCTTGAGACTCATAAGTAATCTGAAAATATCACAGAACTGTGGAGTTGGCCTCAGCTCGCCATCGAGCATATGAAGTCGTACAAATTTGACACAGTCCTAGAAAACAGACATTGAAACTGAAGATGTGTGACGGTAGTAAGTTCCTGCTATCAGAACTGTATGAAAAGCTCTGCATTTTCAAGTAACCAAAAAAAGCATCACACGCAGTTCACGATAAAAATGGTTTCCAAGAATTCGATCTAAAATGAACCTGTGACTCTGAAGGATAGCACGAGGGACATTGTCCGGTCGAAAAACGGCCTAGATAGTGCGCAATTAGAACCCCAAACCGGCTCGGCTGACGTGCGCGCCCTAGCGGACGAGTTCTCGCTCATTGTAGAGGCTTTAGAGGTTGCGCCATCCGCCACCGGGTCGCACACATTGCCCTCAGGCAGCTTACTGTAGCCAGCTGCACGAAACGACACAAACATTTGAACAGCTCGTCCAAATATACCCCTGCTATGCTATGTTTGTAGTCGGAACTTCTCCCTGAATTCCCAGTGCAAGTGGCAATGGGTCCGCGACGGCTAACGTGTCCTTTCATCAGCAATTTGAACCTTTCCCTCCACAGCGCGCGACGGCGCGTGATTGGGTGCGACGAACGCGACACGATTTTCACGGAGAACATATTACACTGTCGCTCATTTCCGTCCAACCCCTGAATTTGGTCCCTTTCTGAAGCCACACATTTCTCTGTATACACCGATTTTCGCGAATTCTCCGCCCATTTTGCACTAGTCTCTGGACTATCGCTTCCATTATTCGCCTAGCAAGGGAACGATACTGGGTCGCAGTGGCCATTCAAGATGAGATGTATATCGCGGAAAGCTAGTTCGCGATTCCTCAGTTGATTCAGAGCTGAGCTATATTGAAAACAAGCAAGAGATTCCATAGCCCCGCAAAGCGAAGTTGTTCTTCACACACTGTTTTTCTCGGCGTAGATTCCGTATAAAAAAACGAGCGATCGTATTGAAATCGTACTTTTTTCTCTTACTCCTTTCTTCTAGACACTTCATTGTATTTCTCCGTATTAACTGGAAAAGGGTTTCTCCTCTTCCGCCTTATCAATTACGAAAATGATTTTTTTTCCTTTTCCCGTAGTCATCGTTGTTCTTCCTCGCAGAACATTTATTTTGTTCTAGCTTGGATACATAAAGGCTTAATTACCCAAAGTTTGAGAGCTTGCACGACAATCGACGACAGCCCGCGTGGCACTATTGGTATAGAACCAAGCAATTTCATGGTGCATCCGGTTCATTAGGAAAAATCCCGAAACAGGTAAGATTTTATCCCATGACGGATATTTTTTCTCAGCGATTGTTGCGAGATTTTTCCTCCATTTCATTGATTGCGAAAAAAGGCTGGACCCATTCAGTTGAAATCACAAAAGGGACTTCTTACTAGATATTCTAACATATTGAATAAGGCCATTTTGAAAATTTCTGATGCAATTCAAGAAGGAAACTCCCCAAGGTTGCTGACAGAAATGTTTTCCGAAAAAGGGTCTAATATAAGTATGGTATGCAACGCCTTGGAGAAATCTACTGAGACAGTAGATCAAATTGCAAGTTCTTACACCCGAACAAGAAACTCAGGTTGATGAATATATAGAACAGACCTACAATCTCCTAGAGAAAGCGTACACTTTAAGTGTTAATAAAGTACACACAAAGCTAAAGGGAGTGACAACCCACACAAGCGCCAAATGAAGCAGGCATGGGGCATGGCAGAGGCAGCTTCAAAGCGCAAAAGTCGAGCTACCAGCGATCCCAATTCCTATTTTGAGTGGTAGGCTTAGTGAATTCGAAAACGTATGGGCTCCCTTCAGTGCAAACGTGCCTAATCAGAGGCTTTCAAATTTACAGAAATTCAATTACCTATTAGGAAGCCCTTGGGGGGAGGCAAAAGAAGTGGTGAAACGTTATACTGTAACCGAAGAAATCTACAACATGGCTGTGAAAGCACTCCAAACGAAATTCGGTAACAAGTCGAAGTTGAACTATGATCTCCAAGTGCGTTTAGAGAGAGCCACAGCGAAGGGCACGCACATTAACGAACAGCGAAAATTATTAGAGTATCTGATTGCTCTAACCACACAACTTGACCAAAGGGGAGTCTCATTAGATGGTTCTTTAATAAGCCATAAAATCTAGCAAAGTTCAAACAAGACCTTCAAAGGGAAGTTCGGCAACAACGTGTTGAAACAGATCATCAAGAAAGCGGATGGTCTATGTGCGGGTTACTAACTGATCTGGATAGGATAATCACGGCTGATGAAAAGGTCAACGAATTGTTAATGAGAAATGAAGCACTACAGAATAGAATAGGGGTAGGCCCAACACAGTGCAAAGAAATTTCGACATTGCGTCAGACTAATCTCCGTTATGTCTTTATTGTAACAAAACCGACCGTTCTTTCTTGAGGTGTTCTAAAATCACCAACATCAAGAATAGGGCCCTATTTTTGCTCTAAAATGCCAGGTGCCTCAACTGTGCAAAGCTCAATCATTTCCTCAGAGACTGACTAAGTAAAGGATGTAGTATGTGCGAAGGGAAAAAACACCATCTTTCGATTTGCCCAAAGAGGCAAGCTAGAGAAAACGTCTCGATACAACAAAAAGAACACGCTATGAAGTCTACGCACAGTGCGAAACGAACAAAACCAGACGTAAAAAAGCCCATCCACAGTCAAAATCACATCGTATCTGCTGATTTGCAGATCTCAGAGAGAGAAGAAACTGATGATACGACCTCGACCCTTTATATTTCCAATCTTGAAAAGGTTAAGAATGCAAATAATTCAATTCAATTCAATTTTATTACATGCGGCTCCACATGTAATAAGGAGAACAGAAAAAAATACATCAATAGTAGGAAAAGAAGAAAGAAAAAGATCCATAATAAAGCAATCCACGAGAATACTGATAGGAACCAATTGACACCGAACAGAAAGCCAAGTACAAGCAACTGACACAATACAAACCTAATTTGCGAGGAGTATTCTGTCTAATAGCTTCCTGAAACCACTAATCGATCCCGGCATAGCACATTTTTTGGCAACTTTTACAAAATCTGACCCAGCTCTGAAAGTGAAGAAGTCCCTACCCATGGAGAAACATGGCCGAAGAGTAAGAATCTAAAAGCCTGGCCCTAGCTGACCTATACAATTTAAAGAAATCACCCGATTTAAGTTTAATCAAGCCATGGAGAATTCTAAAAAGCATTAACAGGTCATTCTTCCTACGTCGAAGCTTGAGAGACTCCAAATTAAGCATCGAGTTCCTCGTAACACTACGCGAAATGCTACGATACGTAAAGCCCAATGACCGAATGAAAACCTTCCTACTAAAACTGTTCTGAATTCTTTCAATGCGATTAACCAAGGCTTTCTTACAAGGACAAAACACACACGTACCATATTCCAGCATAGGTCTGACGTAAGTTTTGTAGGCCCAAGTGAGAAGCTGCGAATCCTTCGAGCACAGGGATTCGAATAGAAGAAAAAGACGCTGTTCCGCTCTGTTGGCAATGCTCCTACAATGCTCATTGAACAAGAGCTTGCTGTCAACAATGAATCCTAGATCCTTAACGGAATCAACCTTCTTTATGACGACCCCCGACAAGTGATAATCATACCGCCGATTGCTGTCCCCAAGATGAAGAACGATAGTTTTTTCCGGAGATAGAGAAAGGCACCAATCATACGACCTTTGCGAGACTGCATGCAAAGCAGATTGCATTCGCAAGTAACTTTCACCATTTTGAATTCTAGAATATAATTTGATGTCGTCAGCAAACATTTTACAGGTGACGCCTGCATCAGCAATAACTGCGCGTAAATCATAGACATAAATAGCAAATAGAAGTGGAGATAGAACACCTCCTTGGGGAACGCAGAGGGAGCATCTCGAACCAAAGATAGATTGCCATTGAGTATCACTTGGAAAGGTCTTACTCCTAATAGGAACGGCGAAGGTTTGCGACAAGAGAACGGGAACATCAAAATATGTAGAGATACTTCTCGATACAAGGGTGGACAGATCCTTCATTTTGAACACGTTAGCAGATGAACTCGGCCTGCCTAATAACAAGGCAGTAGATCTGTCAGTTTTACCTTCGGTAACAACGTTCCACGCCACCAGAAATGCGATGTCATAGAACTGCAAATCCTATGACTTCGCATTTCTGGACGCGCGTGAGAGCCCCCATGACCTTTCATTCTGTAAAACAGATGTTATCACAGAAAAGGCAAGCGGGTTTCTCGTATCAGAAGATGTTGAATATTTGCGCAAAACGGGAATCGCTTCGTAAAAAGAAGGAAGCACCCGTGAACCCGCAAATACTGTTGGGTTGCGACCAATTATGGCCTTTTCTCAAGAGCACAGACCCACAACACACACAATCATCGGGTTTGTATGCAATGCCTTCAAAATTGGGATACCTTTTGAGTGGAAGACAAGAAATATCAGAAGGAAATGGGGTCTTATTTCTTGAAAAGAGTGATCATACCAATAAAGAGAGTGATGGTGACTGTAACGATTGCGATTCACAGGCTACACAAATAAGCCTCCTTGATGCGGAAGAAATCGAACAATGGGATCGTTACTGGTCCCTGGATTCCAGTGGTATTAAAGAATTTACAGGCACTAAATATGCAGAAAAATATCAAATCAATGCGAAAATTCAAAATTTTTTCACTATACTATTGAGAAAAGGGATGATGGGTATTATGCTCGGCTACCCTTCAAAGAAGACTGCCAACCATAAAGAACATTTTTCGTTTTTTCTGACTGCAAGGGTCCAGCGCGGTACGATAATGGGTCAAGTGAGATCGATGGTGGGAGCAGGCGGTGGCCGATAGAATTCCTAGATGAACACACTGATTACAGGCTGCGCGGAGAACAATGGGATGTGCTGGTATTCGAGAGGGGCGACAGGACGAGGATCGGCGGCTCGCACCAATGGCCTCTGGCTCAGGATGTCTTCCGCTCCCGGCTGCTGCCCATCGAACGACTCAATGGATCCTATTCGACTACCCAATTGTGCGACTTTGGGTTACCTATTCTTGTCCATTCGTACTCAGTATTTACAATATGTATTTACTTTCGCTTCGGTGCGGTTCTACTAATAAATTCTTATATAAGTACTTCGGGTCTTCACACTTGACTCACAAATAGTTCTTGGCTGGTTAACAAAATCACCAGACTAGCATGAATTGGGAGTGTTTGTCTGCAACCGTTTAAAAGAAATTCGTAAAATCACTGGTATCATGAAGGAAAACAAAGGTCTTGAGATCTTCTTCGAATATTTTTCATCAAAGAACAATCTGGCAGGCTGGAACTCGTGGCCTTTCTAAAGAACAGCTGGGGAACACGAGTGGTGGGATGGCCCACACTTTCTTCGTGAACCTATAGCTACATGGAAGGCACCTTTGTTTCGACGAGTTGACTCTGCGACGTGCTCTAAAAATGTCGAAACAACATTTGCCTTTTGCCTCCATAAACATCGAGAATGAAGACCATTCACAATTTCCAATTGAACGTTTTTCAACGCTCGCTAAGGCTCTACGAGTTCAAGCGTGGATGCTTAGATTTGTTCGACAATCAAGGAGAAACCTAGCGGAAAAAAGTGTAGAGCGCACACTCAGCCATACACCCGAACTCAAGGTAACACAACCTGGATCCACTTCTATAAACGGTCAAGAAACTCGTGCAGCAAAAACAATCTTGATCAGAGATCAACAGAAGTCAACCTTACGCGCGATTATATTAAATCCATGAACAATTCACTGAAACTGTTTAAAGGCACTGTTCACGAAAAAATGGTTTCGGAGATCTGCACATGGTTTGAATTCGACGTCCCCTCTGATACCATTTGTGCAGGAATGAGGTCGGAAAACGGTCTGGGTAGGGCACAATAAGGGCAGGAACAGTGGGGGACGGGAGGCCTCCGCCTCTCGCCAGGCTGACTACGAAATCTAATTGCCGTTCATCACTTTCGCATTGGGCGAAGTTGTCTGCTTGGGTGTGTTGTCTGCTATTGCAGACATTGCGTCGCCTTCCTGCACACGCCCGAACACTCCCTTAACCGCCGTTCTTCCAATGTGAAACTCGTCCAACCCCCCTTCCCAGCTCTTTTTTGACCCTTTCTATTTCTTTTTGTTCATCGTTTTTTGCGCTTTTTTCGTTGTTATCGCTTTATTCTAGAGTAGTTCTATGAATTCCCGTCAAAAAAGGGTACCCT